ACCGACATTCCTTAAGAGATTCAAAATCAACGGCATTTTCTTTTCTCTTTTTTAATTAAATTTTATTGAAACAATGTAATTTGTGATGCTGAAGTGGTGCCTAATCTAATCTCGACATGCATTCTGAATTTTTAAAGTGATTTATTTTATAGAAAGAAACCGTTCCCAATTGAAATGAAATATTGTCAACCTGTTAGGGTTCAACGATTTAACCGACCTCTGAATTTACCAAATATAGATTTTATATATTAGTAGGACATCTCGAACTAAAACATAAAATAATAATAAACAAAAAACACAATTTCTGGTATAATTTAAACTACATTTCAGTAATAGAGTTTGCCATTGGGCGGTGGGGGGGGGGACGAATGGTTAGTTGTATCATAATGTCTGTCATTGAGTCAACTGGCGTGGTGTCGATTTCCAGATTGTACGTGACAAGGAGTAGGGTCTCCTGTTCAACCCACTGCTAAAGACCCCTACGCGCAAGCGAATTATTGAAAGAAAATTAAACCATGTTAGTCCCGAAATAACCTAGTTTGTGTCGAGTGGACGTTAAACCCCATTCCTCTATCGTAATATTAACAGATATAATTTTATCTTGGATCTATATATGGTAGTCGAGTGGGTTAATGAACAAGCATCTCGACTAGAAATATGTCGGCTTTGAGAATTTTCAAACAATTATTGTGATTTGTGAGGGGGTAGCGGCTAAGGTGCTATCAAGTAAAGTGTCCACTCGTGTACAAATTGGCTGGACGTAAACGAATCCTTGACATACATGGCCGGACGTAAAAGAATCGTTCACAGACATGGCTGGACGTAAAAGAATCGCTGACAGAAACGGCTGGACGTAAAAGAATCCTTGACCGATGGAATTCGTTGAAGGGTAAGCGGAAACGCCACTGTTCTAGTTACCATAGTAACAATAACCCTATGTTATTCTCAAAATGACAAGGGATCACGTGGCTAAGACTCTGGCTCGCTAGCCTGGAGGTCGGGTGTTCGATCCCTGCATTGGCCGAGAAAGTTCATCCAGATTTTCCGGCGTGGGTTTCCCCGTGTCAGTGATGCAGGATGGAGGGCCTGACAAGGACAGCTGTCTAATCGTTCGGGTGGGACGAAAAACCGAGGTCCCGTGTACATATCGACGTGCACGTAAAATATCCCTTGGCAGTTGGAATTCGATATAAGAGTAAGCCATAGCGCCGCTGTCTGGGCAAAATTTCCCTCATAGCACACTGTATGGCATTAGCCCAGTTTAGGAGCAGAACAATAAGATTTCATTTCATTTTATTTTCTCAAAATGACCAGAATATTGTGTTGACGAGATGTTAAAGTATTCTTCTCATGACTGTTTTAGGTAATCTTTAGCATTACTCCTTAATTGAGGTATTATAAGGCGCTTTCAGCGATAGCTCTATACGATAATTTAACGATAGCTTTATAAGATATCTTAACGACAGCCATATACGATAGTTTAAGGGTATTTTTAAACGATATTTTAACGATAGTTTTTAACAACAGACATATATGATATTTAAGGGCATTTTTTTAACGATTGTTTTTAACTATGGCTCTACCTTTTTTTTTTACCGATAGCCGTATATGATTTTTTAACGATAGTTTTTAACGATGGCTCTACAAGGATAGTTTTTTAAAAATAGCCATATACGATACTTTAACGATAGGTTGTTTTTACGATATTTCTTCTCTGTAACGGTTTTATTGTTTTTATCGAGTTATTCACCGTCATTGTTTTTTAATTCTCTGAAACAATTTTTGAGTTATCTTCTCTTGTTTACTGATTGTGGACAGTTCGCTTGCCTGTGGAATCATCCATTCATGACCGCATCTTGGAAGGTGGGGGTGGATAGCCTAATGGTTAGCGTGAGCTAACACTGAACCATATGTTAGTCCAGAAATAACCTAGTTTGTGTCGAGTAGACGTTACCCCCCCCCCTCTCTCTCTCATGACCGCATCTTAACAAAGCTATGTATAGACACAGTTGAACTCGTTTTATATGATCTCTGTACTGGTTATTTTGAGACTAACACACTGCAAAAAACAGAATTTTACCTCGGCAGCGTCGCTTTTGTCTTATAGTCTTCTAACTATTAACACCAATAGGTTATACCTCGAGAACACCCCCAGTTAAAATCAGAACATTGCGCCAATAGGTTATACCTCGAGACCACCTCTATTTAAAATCAGAATATGGCGAACATTGCGAAAATCCATCTGTGAAATCTAGAATCACTTTATAGACACAAATCGCCGATTATATTCGAAATGTCAACAGACAAGTAGAAGATCTACGCCATTAGTGGTTACTAGAATTACAACACAAACGATAAGATAGCTTGTAGTCTTAATACAACTGATATGAATCAGCGACGGATCCAAAATTAGCGAAAACTATTGATTTGATATTTTAAGACGAATTTTGTTTAATTAGACAAAAAGATTAATGCGAATGTATTATGTGGAATTGACATTTATCATGTGGACAGATGATGGAGAAAAAAAACCAACATCAGTTACCAAAAAATGTATTTAAAAGAAATAGAAAATAGAGGAGATTGATACAATGGACTGTCATAAGTAAATTCTAATCCGTCAAACAAAATGTGAAATGTCTCGAATGTTTTGAAGAAATCAAGAGAGCAGTTGGCATGGAAATTGAGATTTATTCCACATTATATGACATTATCAAAGTTTGGTTTCGTGGAGATCGCCGCAACCCAGTATAAAAATTATATCAATTGCCTGTACACCTGGATCGTTTAAATTATATTTTAGAGGCAATTCTCTTGAAATGTAGATTTAAAGATACATTGTGTAAGATTTAGATAAAGAGCTGATCATTCTTGCTAAAATAGCTCAAAAATAGATAATGTAAAATGAAAATATTGTAAATTTCAGTCAATTTACTTTATTCTGAGCCAAGTTTTTACTGTCTGTAGTTTTGACAAGATGTGTGCATTGTGGTAACCAGGGCACTGGTATATTCCAGACTTAGCCTCGCTTTCCCATTTTTAAATTAAATTTTTAAATGGCGAACCGTTCTAATCTAATTAAAATCTTGAAAGTTGATTATGGTATTGTTTTGTTAATATATATCTAATTAATAGCTTATATAACATTTCATGCCTAAAGAAAGACATGCAATGAGCAGATTTAGCTCTTGTACAATGTATGTTTAAAAGTCGTTCACAAAATGATGGTTTACAAAACGTCACATAGTGATTTTTGAAAGTAGGTTGGGATTATAGACTTGCTAGGATCAGTTGAGGAGTCGGTTACGAAATAGCATGTTGTGGTTTTCAACGCGTGCAATGGGATTTCATGCATAATAAAGATGGGTAGACTTAGACCAGTCTAAACAGTTTATTTTATTCGGTTTCGTTTTAAAAGTGTTAAATCTTTTTAAAACTTAGTGGATGGTTTTCTTTGGCGTTTTACGGAATCAACATTTTCTTTATAATTGAGAAATTCACAACAAATTGACAATAAAGTTGATGATTTTCAGAGCGATAACACTTTAGAAATCGACAGGTTAGACTGAAATCAAACCGCATTTATTCAGCGCCTTCTTTAGTTTTCTCGTACTGGATATGAAAGAGATATTAATACCATACACATATCACAACATGCATATCGCACGCGATTGTGTTTTGTTCGCTTTGGTACTTACATGTATGCCGTGGAGAAGTTTTATAAATTCTCCCAATATGCCGCGGAGAAGGTGCATAAGTTTTAGAAATTCCCCCAATCCCTTTGTAAATTACTTGCAATAACATGTTTTAAACTTAGATATTGTAAGAAAAAGATTGAACCTTAATACATAAAGATAGTAATATTGGAACCATTAATCAACCAATTACACCTCTTTTGTAATCATTTCCATTTAATTACTTATTTTAATTGGATTATAGTGTGTTTCAAATTACTCAAATTGGATTATATGGTGTTTCAAATTACTCAAAATTCCCTTTAATCTTTCTAGGAGTGCTGGAACGAGAGAAACTTTCTTCAGAAGTAGATTATTTTATTAATATGTTTCCGTTGTCTTTTAAATGTACACATTGTCTGACATCTGGTCCTGTAGGCTTTGACTTGGAGCGCCATCTGTAGGCTATATAGCAGCGAGCAAAATGGGCGTAGTCTTTATTCACTACTATAGCAGTTTAAATTAAATTGCATTCAACGTATATAAGGAACAAAACAAAAAGGCACTGTCATGATTATTGCACCCGGTATTGCTTGCATAAAAATTTTCGTAGAATTGTTAGGAACGATTTGCTTTATATTTATTATATGATCTATTTAACTGCGTGCATATATAAACAATAGGTAAATATATAAACTATGTCATTGTCAAAAAAACCCCAAAAAAACACAACACAATTTATATGAAAAACAATCACTGGTTAATACACATATAGCATGACGTTTCGATAAGTATTCTCATCATTTTGTACTTGATAACGATAAGAGAATACTTGTCGAAACGTCGTGCTATATGTGTATAAACCAGTGATTGTTTTTCCATATAAATTGTGTTGTGTTTTTTAATGTGCCGAATCACTAAATACCACTCAAGGATTAATATGTCATTGTTCATTGTAATATACATGCATTGCAATGCCAGTGTAAACATGGGGCTCGATATCAATCCAGGAACTTTTGGGAACTTTCTTACAAAAAGTCAACGTCTTGATGAACTGAAGTTTTGTTCGTTCGTACGTAACATTTTGGCATTGATTCCTGAAGTCTAAGGAACTTCCTGGAGATGACGAATACCCTGATCCGCTCTTAAAATCCGGACCGAATTTGATTGATAACTGAAGATAAAAGGAAGTTCTCACAAATGACAAATCATAATATGTTTCACTGTAAAAGTTATGGAGATTTTTTACCCTTGCAATACGTTCTTGGTGAATATCATTCCGGTTCCTAGATTAATTAAAAAAAAGGAAAACCAAAGATTACTTACCTATTTGGGTAATACACAAAAGTGCTAAAGCCAAAAGATGTAAATTCACTGAAATCATAACTATTGTTCTTTAAACTCCAATTTCCGCTTTTCGTAAAAAGTTTGTCGGATCTTGGTAACGTGTAGGTTTTTGGTAGAAGCGTGCTTTTAGGAATAAAGTTAATATCTGGAGTCAATCGGAAAGGCGCGTGCAGTTTTTCCCTGTGTCTTGGTCTTGATTACAAAATATTCAATATTGTATGTGTACGTTTATTCTCAACCACTCTCCCCAAATCCTTTTATTTAATATTGTGGAATTTATACACGGTCTTCTTGTTCAATATTACCACGCACGAGCTGTCGGTTAAGACACATTGACCAATGAGGTTGTCAGTTAGATGAAGTTACAAAATATAATATATTAATCCCTCCCATTGGCCAGATCAATAATGTCTGTCAATGCTTGTGTGTGTCTTATTGTGGAACAGATTGCGTAGGTAGGATTTGGTTCTCTACCACAAGATTTCCCAACGAATGTTTTAATTGCCCGTATTTCCCCAGGGCGTATACCTGATGACGAAAAGTCTGTAATTTAGAAGAGGGCATGTAACATGACAAAATTACTTAAATTTGTTTTAAGACAGACAACCTATCTCGATATTTACATTTAATATTAAATGCTTCACAATCCGCGTGTTCCCCGTCAGACTCTTGATCAATGGTGTAGCCTATAAAGAAAATTAAATCGAATCCCGATCGTCATTCGACATTTAATTAAACACAGTTTAAACAAAGGAAGGTTCAGTATTCGCCTTCACAAGAAAAAGCAGCGAAATTGCATAGGCAAGTATGTTCGTTTCGTTTGAGAAAAGTTTTTTGATCATTTTTAAATTTTAACTATGCATAATAATATGCCTTCACATAAAATATGCAGGATTGCATAAGGACTTAGTTTTATAAGGCCATATGCCTCACTCATGCGCAAGTATATTCGTTTCGTTTGAGAACATTATTGGGTCCGTTTTAAATTTTAATTACACAAATGCATCACTAAAAGTCTGCGAAACTGCATAGGCAAATATATATATTCATTCAGAGATTTAAATTTTAACTTTATATCAACCCTACGCCAACTCTTTGAAATGCACAGGCCAGTATATTCGTTTTGTTTCAGAAGTTGTTTAGATACGTTATAAATTTTAACAACACATATCCAACCAGTCTGTGTAAGTTCGGAGCAGAACAGTAGGACGTTAAACCCCATTTCATTCCCAAACAGCCTGCGAAACAGCATTGACACGTATATGCGCTTCGTTTGAGAAGAGTTTTAATCCGTTATAAGTTTTAACTTTCCATATGCCTTGACAAAAAAGTCTACGAAACTGCCTAACCACGTATTTTTGCTTTGATTTACAACAGTTTTAACTTTCGATATGCCTGAATAAAAAGTCCGCGACATAAAAAAAGGCAAGTATAATCGCTTCATTTCAGAACACTGATTTGAGTAGTTTTAAATTTGTACAGGCATGTCTTCATAAAATGTCAGCGAAATTGCAAAGCCAAAATCATTCACTCCGTATGAGAAAAGTAGTCGGTGAATTATAATCTGTGAAGACATATTTCATCGTCCGGCCCGAATGCTTAAACATACATTAATAATGATGTCACTGTATTAATCTTTTTAAACATACATTATGCAAGAGCTAAATCTGCCTATTGCAGGTCCTTCTTTAGGCCTGAAATGTTATATAAACTATTAATTAGACATTTATTAACATGAAAGACCTTAATCAACTCTCGATGGCATCGGATACTCGAGATTTTTACTAGATTAGAACGGTTCGCCATTTAGAAACTTAATTTAAAAAGGGGAAAGCGAGGCTAAGTCTTGAATATACCAGCGCCCTGTTTACCACAATGCACACATCTTGTCAAAACTACCAACAGTGGTAACTTGGCTCAGAATGAAGTAATTTGAATGAAATTATCTATTTTTGAGCTATTCTAACAATAATGGCCAGCTCTTTATCTAAATCTTACATAGTGTATCTTTAATAAAAGTGCGCGCTTTTCCCCACGCGCAGGATTCAATGTGGTCAGATTATAATTGGCCTTTACATATTGATGGTGTTTAATGTCGACTTGCTGTAGCATGTGCGAATTATGGCTGCGAAACTGTGATGTAATGTAGTTTATCTCATCGTACGGGGCCAAGGGAATTAACTCCTACTCGGTTTAGAAATCTAAGAATAGCACGTTTTTAACACAGAGAGAGAGAGAGAGAGAAATGGGGTTTAACGTCCACTCGACACAATCTAGGTCATTTCGGGACTAACATATGGTTTAATTATATTTACATAATTCGCTTGCGCGTAGGGGTCTTTAGCAGTGGGAGGAAACCGGAGGCCCCGGAGAAAACCCACGAGGTTGGACAGGCGACCCTACTCCTTGTCACGTACAACCGGGGATTCGAAACCACGCCAGTCGACTCGATGACAGACTTTATGATACAGCGCGCGTATGCTAACCATTCAGCCATTCCCCCCCCCCCCCAACGTTTTTAACAACATAACATGGAATTAGTTATGGTGGAACTAACACCATGGAATTAGTTATGGTGGAACTAACACCATGAAATTAGTTATGGTGGAACTAACACCATGAAATTTAAAAATGTCTTTTCCAATAAATTAAATCATCACAGAACAACAATCTGATTAAAATACAGATCGATATTTCACTTCGTTTTTTATACTTTCTATGGTCTCTACTTCATGAAGATCTGATCGGTTCTTGTGGAAGGTCGCGTCAGCCATTTGATTAACCAATCCGACGCAATGTTTCTAGTGGGTTACCCATAGTTCCATGCACCTCACGAAATGAAATGAAATGGGGTTTAACGTCCTACTGTTCTGCTTCTAACCTTGTCTAATGAAGACGGGCATACGCCATACAGTGTGCTATGAGGGAAATTTTGCCCTGACAGCGGCGCTACGGCCTACTCTTATATCGAATTCCAACTGCCAAGGGATCTTTTACGTGCACGCCAATGTGTACACGGGACCTCGGTTTTCCGTCCCATCCGAACGACTAGACAGCTGTCCTTGTCAGGCCCTCCATCCTGCATCACTGACAAGGGGGAACCACGTCGGAAAATCTGGATGAACTTTCTCGGCCAATGCAGGGCTCGAACACCCGACCTCCCATGCACCTCATGTCAAAAACTAGCATTAACAGAGTGTTTCATTGGCAAACCACTCACACCATCCAGAACGCGGGTTATATAACAAGTCTCTAGATCCTAGTGTAGTGGAGACAAGTAAAACGAAATTTTGAACTAAAGAAAACGAACGAAATATGATTCGTGTTTTAATCCGATCTCATAAAACAAACTACGTACAAGACAATTGTTATTATTCTTATTACGGCAAGAAAGTTGGGAGATACTAATTGTAGGCCGGCTGGGGACGTTCGGGAATTCCCGGAGTCCACAATGGCCGCCTTATATAAATGAGTATTTAACCCTAACGCTAACCCTAGAGGGGTAAAAGGTAAATTGGATCCAAGTTCAGTCTTCTAAAAAGGGTTAAGGTTAGGGATAGTATTCACCAAAATACTCATTTATATAAAGTGACCATTGTGGACTCCGGGAATTCCCGAACCTCCGCACCCGGGATTTTTCGACAAGGTTTCCCCTAGTCAGCGGTGCATGACGAAGTGAGTTACGATGATCAGTGTCTTGTCGTTCGGATGGGAGGAAGAATCGCAGTTTCTTGTAAACATCGGCGTGCCCGTAAAAGATACCTTTACAGTGGGAATTCGAAATAAGAATAGACCGTAGCGCATCTCTCTGGACAAGTTTTCCTGTCTTCGTGATGGGTGGATGGGTGGATGGCTGAATGGTTAGCGTGTGCGCACTGTATCATAAGGTCTGCCATTGAGTCAACTGGCGTAGTTTCGATTCCCCGGTTGTACGTCCAACCTCGTGAGTTTTCTCCGGGTCCTCCGGTTTCCTCCCACTGCTAACGGCCCCTACGCGCAAGCAAATATTGAAATAAAATTAAACCATCTGTTAGTCCCGAAATGACCTAGTTTGTGTCGAGTGGACGTTAAACCCCATCTCTCTCTCTCCCAGCAAGTACAGCGTGGTAATGATATCTGGATGTCAACAGGTACGAGCGTACTACTATATGAAACAACAACGGAGTATACAGTTTTTCATCGCAGTTAGGATTATACAAGTGTCATGTTTATCGTGAAGCCTTATACATACATTATGGAGAGTTAAATCTGCTTATGGAAGATTGTTCTTTAGGCCTGAAATATTATCTAAATTATTAATTCGTCAGCCTGCGATATTTACTGGATTTGAATACATTTTGTGATGAATAATTTAACCTAAAAATGGTTAATCGAGACTGTTTCGTTTATTATTGCCTATTAATATTATTATTAGTGTTCGATTTATATAGCGCTTCATTACACATGAGTGTTTCTACGCGCATTCACAACAAAACACTTCAAAAACATTTTTGAAACAAATATGCCTATAATTGTATCGATGATATCTCAGTTCAGAGGGAAGCAATTTGATTGAAATTTTAGCATAATGTTTTCATTATTTATGTTTTAACTATTATAGCGAAAACTGTCATCTCTTTATCTAATCTTACCTAATGCTGCTTTAAGACCATTTTACACGGTCATATATTTGTTCAAAAAGTTCATCAAACATTTGAATGATGATGTTCATGCATGTTCGAGGTCACTAGATGAGCCATAAAACACCCGTTCACACCATACAATATCTTCTGGGTTAGTTCGGAGGTTTTATGGATTTTGGCCGGAATGTCCCACGGCATGGATTCCCACAGACGTTTCTTACTATTGGCGCTGGAACATGCATACCCTTGTTGGTGATTCGCCGTCGGGCTAGAAATCGATTACGAGCATCACGTGTATAGGCAAATCAGTGGATATGGAGGAGGGGAGTTTTCGGATCGCACCAACTCCATCTAAAGGAATTTAGAGATGAAGACATTTGCAAAATTATTCTCAGGATGAAAGTTGCCACCTTAAGGGGACTTCTTATGAAGTTGTCGCGCCATTGATTTACAAGCAAGAGACAGTAATGAAGGCTGTAATTCCGATGTCCCCAGTATGATCAAGATGAATAGTGCATACAGACCAGATGCTGGTCCAACAATTAAAATTTCTCAATTGACGACCATGGAAGTTACTTATAATTAACACACCTTATGAAAGATATAGAAACCATTACAATAACTATTTAGCCTATACTGTTTTTTTAGGACTTT